AAAAAAAAAAAAAAGAAAATGAATCAATGATTCTATAGACTATTTATTTTGTTCTATATATATAATCACAAAAATTCAACTTGTGTAGAGAAATCAATATCATGCTCTTCTTCTCTTCTTGATATTAAAGCGATTTTTAACTCTTTTTCTACGAATTTATTGGCATTTGGCGGTATGGTTGGACCATCACTTTTAGCTCCCTCGCATTTATATTCGTTCTGTCCCTTTTTACCAATATTATTATTTGTTTTACTTAAAAAAAAATAATTAATTTGATTTACTCTACTGATTTTTACTCTCTCTCTCTCTCTCTCTCTCCCCCACAAACAGAAACAGTGTCCAAGATCTGGTGGATGTGACTTAAAAAAGCAAGAGATTGGATAAACATAGGAGTATATATAAATGGATAAATAGATAAGAGTTAAATTAGTGGTATAACGTAACCAGTAGCTGCTGCTACACATACCAAGAAAGAGGGAGGCGTTGAGAGGCGTCGATGTGTAAGGGTGGACCCTCGCGAACCACTTTGGGACCACACCCGATCGCCCAATCACACACATGTACCGCGCCTGCCCCAGCATCGCCACCAGTATCGACGTCATTATCCCGAAACTAGCCCCAACCCCTATCACGTTCGACGCCCACCCTCTGAATGCCCCCGAGAATGGAGCCTCCGGGTCGATCTGTGTACCCAACACCGTACCAGTACCACCAGCTAGTCAGTCACATGATAATATATAGTATATTGGTAAACAAATACCAAATCACTAATCGATCGGGGTATAATATATGGTGGTACCATGTCGTAAGGGAGGAGGGCCGTCATGGAAGCCGCCATCAGGCAGTAGAGGACAGTTACCAGCACGACGGATCCCGACACCCCCACCGGAATATCCGTCAACGGATTCCTCACCTCTTCCGCCATGGTCGACACCGCGTCGTACCCTATGTAGCTCAGGTACACCACGGCCGCACCGTTGATCACCCCCGACGCTCCAAAGGGGAAGAACCCGCCCGCATTTCTCTGGTTACCCGGCTCTGTGAAATTCTTCGTGTGCCCCCTCCAAAACCCCATCGCTATTATGAATACTATGAAAGACAGGTGCAAAATCGTCAGCGCCATGTTCACCCACGAGCTCTCCCTCGTTCTGCAAACCAAATAAATAAATAAATAAATGATTATAATGTTAAATGAATTAATTAATTAATTAAAATGATAGTAATTATTTGCACCTGTAGCAGATTACGAGGGT